GATGATGCTGAAAAAGCCTCATTTGACCCCCACTGCTCGCTGCTTTCATGTGGAGTATATCAGACGTACCTATAGCGCTGAAGGCCACGAATCTGTTCTCCCGGGGGTTGATGCTGCCGTCGTAGGGCCGGTTACCCCACATGTGCGCGGCGCTGTTAACCAGCCAGGTGGCGTTGAGCACAAGCGCGTATCTGAGGAGAGCAGGGACGAAATACGCCACCCACAGAGACTCGCCCCACACCAACCACGGCACGAGTGTCGGCACGGAGAAGCACATCAGCAGCACAGACGACTTGTAGAACCTGACACAGTTCAATCAAACCCAGTTACACGGTTTACTCTGGCCACACACCGCCAGTCTGACTGACACACAAAGTGATCTCAGACTTGCCTCCTCTGGAACATGACCACTTTATCAGCCTTCAGGTCGCTGAGCTCCAGCTTGCGTCCCTTCTCAATGACGTCCGGATGCTTGCGGACCAGCAGCCAGCCGATGTGAGAGAAGAAAAAGCCTCGCACAGCGTTGTGAGGGTCGGCATCCGTCTCGGAGTATTTGTGGTGAACGCGGTGATCTCGAGACCATTCGTAGATGTCATTCTACAGAGAGAGCAGGAGAAGTGTGCCATTTCTACACAAAAAACCACTGCAATTCTGCTTTGTGCCACTAGTAGCACACAAACACACTACAGTACATTATCTATGGAAGCCCGTTTCTGCCACAAAATAAAAAATAAAAAAGTAATTGTAAATTTTTTTCTATCAATTCTGACTTATTTTCTGAGAAAGAAGCAGTTATAAAGTCCAATCCTGAGGAAAAACAAGACTATTTTCTCACAATTCTGACTTTATAACTCGCAATTGCGACTTTGTATCACACAATCCAGAGAAAAAAGTCAGAATTGCAAGATGAAAAGTTGCAATTACCTTTTTTATTTTTATTTAGTGACTTGCATAAAAATCTTCCAACCTAATGTCTAACAAAGTTTTTTTCCATGAATCAGTGAATAGACGGAAATGACAATCAAATACATAAATAATAAACTTTATAGAAAGGGATTAACCACTTTTTACAGCTTCTACACTTTCACTAGCAGTCAAATGGGCTGTTATAATTTACTAAAACCAAGAAAAACATTCCTTACTTGAGATAAAATGAACATTAACTGAAATTATTTTAGCTAGTGTCAAGGACACATTTCTCATTTTTGTTTAGTTTAAGCTACTAAAATAACTACAACCAAGTAAATTAATAAATAGAGAAAAAACGAATAAAAATGACAAAAATAAAATCTAATTCAAAATATAACAATTATAATAGTATAGCATTGCTACTACTGTAAAATAAGGACAAACGTGACTCAATGCTTCTCATAATCTTCTGATCTAAAATTCTTGGATTTAATGTTTCTCAAATATAAGAGATTTAATTAGTGTTGCGTTTTGATGCTCATCTGTGTGATTTCAGAGTTTGCATCACTCTGCTTTTATTCATACGTGTAGAAAACAGTCAGAATAAAGACGGAGATGAGTCTGAACTCTTGACAAACTCTATACTGACTGAGAACTCCTTCAGATGAGTTTGTTACCTGGAAGGCCATAGAGTTTGCGAAGGCGAGAAAGATCCGGAGAGGTAATGATGCTTTATATGATCTGTGACTCCAGAGTCTGTGAGCGCCGGCGGTGATGCCCAGAGCACTGAACAACAAACACGCAAAAACTGAAAAACAAACATACGCCATCCATTATGAACGGCTGGAAATCACTTAGACACACAAAGCACAACTTCAGCTTTGAATGCACATACATGGACTCCATGCATCATTTAACTCATTTTAAATGCATTCTTAAGCAAATACGATACGAAAACTTGTGGAGTTGTGGAGAACAACTGCATTGTTTGGAAAAGTGCAGTGGGAACATTCTGCTAAACATCTCCTTCTGTGTTCCACGTTAGAATGGAGCGAGTATGAGGAGTAAACGATGACCGAATGATCATTTTTGCATGATTTATAGGGTTTTGATGGTAAAATATTGTCAGTAGCGTGTTTAGGCACCATGCAATCGAACACGATTTCTACCTTTCTAATTTCTAATTAGCCGTTTAAAAGTCCTCCACTGAGTGTCTGCATGTGTAATTATATGTAGACGGTTTGCCTAGATTGTTCAGTGTCTGTGTTGCCAGATCCAGTTATTATAATCGTCTTTGGGCTTGTTTTTTTCTCAAATAATGTGACCTTTTAGGAAGTTAATAAAGTGGGAAGTTGCAGTTTAGGGTTAGCGATATCTTTATCTTAATACCCAACAAAATATTAGAACTTATTTCATTTTTGTGGTCCGGCTTTTGTTTGTTACTGTAACAATACCTGGCAACACTGCATCGCCGGCACTTAAACTGACAGTAATTTTTTTTTTAAAAAGCCACATTCGGTAAGAACACACAATGATATTATCAACTTATTTCATTTTTGTGGTCCGGCTTTTGTTTGTTACTGTAACAATACCTGGCAACACTGCATCGCCGCCACTTAAACTGACAGTAATTTTTTTTTTAAAAAGCCACATTCGGTAAGAACACACAATGATATTATCTGTAAGAAATAGTATCAATGCTGTCATAATAACCAGTACTAGTACTAACTAAATAATAACTAGAATGCCAAATATGTAGACACTGTCCGTTTCATTCGGTTTTAGTAGTTAATCTTTCATAAAGTCATGCTAAAACATTCATAAGAGCACTAGACAGAGTTCTTATCACATAGAAATGCTTACTAATGAAAACTATTACAGTATTATCCCACGAATAATAAACAAATAGTACAATTATCCACCCCAACCTATAGAAAAGTATTAATCAATTTTAATGCAGTAATCTAATTTAAGATCTCATCCACACGTCTGTCGCTTTTTACATTTTGGGAGCACTTTACAATAAGGTTCCATTAGTTCATGAACAATACATTTGTTACAGTATTTATTAATGAAAATACAGTCGTTCGTGCTAATTCACGGTGCATTAACTATGGTTAACAAGCACAACTTCTGATTTTAATAACGCATTAGTAAATGTTGAAATTAACATAAGATCACGTTAACTAATGTAGTAATGAAACCTAGCTGTAAAGTTTAGAACAAGTTGTTGCATTTGTAGGTGTTCTTATAGCACAATTCTTAACACCCCACCCCAGACCTCACGTGACTTCTACCGAGGGGGCCCCTGGGGGCCCTCAAAACCCTAAACACGCATCCCTGAATATTGTTTGATACTTACACCAGATCCACGTGAGAACACTGGCGGATGGAAACAGGAAGAGTCCATACAGAGCTCCGACGTGCAGGAAACTCATGAGAAAGACATTTCTCCACACTATGACGGAGGGAGGCTTGGGCCCTGCTTTCTCTTTATACGTGTGATCAAACACGTCCTCCACTGTCTCCGGCTCCGGGTGCCAGATTGGAGATTTGATGTCCCTGTCAGGCATGATGAGCACTGGCGACACAAGCTTCCGTTATTGTAACACCCACAAAGAGCAGCGGATACAGCAGAAGCAAAGCGCGGGTAAACTGGGTCACATCGGTGTGACGCATCAAAGCAGCCGCGTTTGTTAGAAAGTAACACTCACCGGACTGATGCTGCGGACTGAGCGCACGGTGACCCGCGGAGTGAAAGAGGCCGAGTCTCGGAGTCTGATCTGAGGAGCACAAACACTCGTGAAGCGCAAACAGCTGCCGGTTGATGGGAACGCCTGAAATACTGCGCTCTGATTGGCTAGATAGTTCGATGCCTTAAAGCGAGCGTTCGGATTGGCTGAGGCTCATCTGATGTTTCTCCTTCTCGTTCTTCACTCCAGCATCCCCGTACAACCAAACCAAACCGGAGCCGGTGCATTTATACGGCAGCTGCGCTCACCCCACCGGCGAGGAGTTTCTCCGCCGCAGCCAATCATCGCGAGCCCCTGCTGGCTTTGCTCTAAGCACTATTTCAACATTTCACGCCTCATTATTTTCCTATTTGCTCTTGGATGATCACGTTATATTGCATCTTAGATTACGCAAAACATTGATATACTGATAACTGATAATAGAACTTCATATAGTGATATATCTATCAGCTGAACTACAGTGACCTCAGGGGTTTCCTTGCTTTGCAGTGTCGGAAATCAACTCTTTTTAATTAAGGGACTTTATGTAATGTTTTGTGTTACACTGTCCCTTTAATAAAAAGAGTTTGTTTCTGAGGGCGTGTCGTGTAAATTAAATTAATTCTCAGGACAAGCATGGATGTTATCAAACATCAAAAACTACTTAATTTTAGTCAATCGTTTTGTTAAGAATGTTCATAAAAATGAGCTAGTTCAATATTGATTCACTGATTTATTTTGCACCAAAATATTTAGAATATTTATATTTGTAAAATTGTTAATAAATTATATTATATAATATTTACAAAAA